TACATTCAACACGTTCAACTACTGCTTGTTATTGCATACAATACATTTTTAGTTGAGCAACAAAATGAAATAAACATTACTATTCACACACCCTCGCTGTTGCTGCTTTTTACAAAGTAGTGACAATTTTAACTGCATGATTGCTCAGACGTTTATTATAATATTTTTACTTTAACACATTTACAGTTCTAAGTATTTGGTTAATATAGGCTTTATACAGTTTTTAGTCTGTATCTAGGTTTTCTTGCTTTTGCCCATATACTAAAAAAAAGGTAAGCTCCACTCCAGTTGTGTGCCCTTTCAACACTGTCAGTGACTCATACTACGTATCTGTTTTATATAAAACTGCACAAAAACATTTTTACATACATTTTAATTTAAAAGTTTTTGAACTACTTTTTTGAGCTCCATTTTCTTCCAAAAGTCTTTGACTATGAAACATCATCGAGATCTATTTAGGTTATTTTTTATCTGTTTATTATCTTAAATATTTTAAATGTTTATTGGTATTTTTGCAGCCTATACTGTCTAAAAGTCAAAGCATTTCATTTTTATAATGTTCTTATATTTGTTTAATGTAAGTTGTGAGTAAGAGCTACAATCTTGTAAATTTTCACACTACAAATTCAAATTTATGGTAAATAAATATCAGTCCCAAATATTGGTTACCGGTATCTGTGGTTACTAATAATCTGTAGTGGCCCTGAAAATAAATCAATCAGTCGACCCATCAGGGAAAAAAACGTCAAAATATACAAACAAATAATTACAAAGAATCGAAAGCTCAAAAACGATTTTTTTTTCTTCAGTATTTGTATAGTAGTGTGTCAACTTTTTTGCCTTTGTTACAGCTTCCATTCTTTTCAGGACACTTGTTTTCAGTTTTTTTAAAAGAATTTTGCAGAGATATTTTTCCACACCTCTAAAGTTCAGCCTTAGAAGTTGGTTATATATTCTGGATTCTGGGGTGGTCAGTTCATTGTTCTGACAACACTAGCAGTTTCTTTGTTTGACTGCATTTTCTTCTTTTTTTTCCTATTTTATTGAACAAACTTTTGACAGCTACACATCCTTTCAGGCACAGTGGTGAGTTGTCTTCTCACCATGGACGAATGGACAGAAACACATGAAGATTTTTTCAGACCTGAAGCAAGAGTGGAGCTTGAATGTCTCCTGTGTCTCAAAGGCGAAAGCTTCAATCACCAGGCAAATTTTTCTAACGTTAGCAGTAACAGGGTTATTAGAATTACGGCTATAATAGACACCTGTAAATAAGCTCTACAGCTAAAACCCTTAGCTACTTTAGAACATCAGAGGCAGTGATCTTTGAGAAGTTTGGCAAGGTTTGTGGTTGGAACTTGATAACAGTGCAGGACAAACTGATATGCCTCAGTCTTGTAAACATTAGTACTTGGTTACGGCCAGCAATAAAGCTGTGGATGTCGACAGCTGAGCACCAGCAGAATCTAACTCGAGCACGCAATAGAAGCGGCCTGTGGACAGCGCTAGCCCCGTCGCCTTCAGAGGGGCATGAGTTGTGGTGTGTCATAGGAGCTGATCCACTTTCCTAAAGCGAGCAGTCTGGATTTAGTGACTAGCCACCGCTAGCAGCTAAGTCACTGAGATGTGGTACAGAACGCAAGGGAACATCAGAAACCCAATGCATCTGGTCCATGCTAAAATGTTGCACCCTACAAACCGAACCCTTCTTGGTATCGAGTTCCTAGTTGACCCAAAGGACATAAATAAATGAGGCAATAAATAAGGCTAATTTGCTGATGAAGTTGGCCCTTCAAAACACTAGAATTTGAAACTAGGCTTTCAAATCTTATGGGCACTCTGGGATTTAAGCCCCACATTTCGCTCTGAAATGTCTCAGTAATCTTCCAGTCTCATTATTTCTCCAATTCGGTTGAGGCCTTCAGTACCTGAGGCAGCAAAGCAGCCCCACAACATTGTGGATCCACCATGTTTGACTGTATGTAGGGTGTTTTGCTTGTAAGCATAATTCTGTCTCTTATAAACAAATCGCTGGTCTGCATTGCCAAAGAGCTCTATTTTTGTTTGGTCTGTTCACAAATCATTTGCCCAAAAGGATTGTGGTTTGTTTAGGTACATTTTGGCAAAGATCAGTTATGCCTTCTTAAGTCTTTCTTTCAGCAGTGGAGTCTTCCTTGGCTTTCACCCATTAAGTACGTCTTGGTTTAGTGTGTGGCGTATTATGGTGTGGACTGAAACATCACTCCAGATTGCTCCAGATCTGCTCTCTGGATGGTACACATGGTGTTTTTTTCCCACAGTTCGCACCAAGGCACCCGCAGATTTCTCTCACTGATTTTCCTCTGTGTCCTAAGAGGTTCCTGACAGTTCCATGAGCAATAAACTTCTTAATTACATTAACCACTGTTGAAACAGGGATGTCAATGACTTTGGAGATGGCCTTGTCCTCTTTATCATTCTTGTGTTTGGAGATAACAGCACTTCTGATGCTCTCAGACAGCTCTCTTGTTTTCACCTTTGTGAAAAGGGATCAGGGAAGGTAAAGTGGCCTTTTTAAGCATGAAACCAACATTCATTCGTTAATTCAAGTCAAGAGAGCCCTCATTTAATTCATTCTAACTTCTAATTTACCACAGGTAGGTCTAATCTAGTCTAATCTGAATGGAATTCATCAAAAGGGTGCCAATAATTGTGTCACGTCCATATTTCTATTTTTATGTTTTTCCCTTATCGCTTTTTTAATTGACTGTTTTTTGAACCCTTAGCTGTTGTATACTGAACATGACTGTATGTGAGTGTTTTAACACGTTTTAAAAAAATTGAGATGGGGCAATAAAAGACCTGTGAAGTTGTGTGATGCTTAAAAAATACCCAGTGGTTAATAACCAACAGGTCAGTAATATGACTGGGTATAATAAAAAGAGCATCCCAGACAGGCTTTCAGGTTAAAACTCTCCCATTCAAAGAAGAAACCAGATATAAACAGGATCCAGAAACGCCACTGCCTTTTCTATGGACTCAAGCTCATTTAAGATGGACAGAGGCAAAGTGGAAAAGTGTCCTGTGGTCTGACGAATCAAAATTTGAAATTCTTTTTGGAAATCATGGACACTGCATCCTCCAGGCTAAAGACCACTCAGCTTGTTATCAGCGCACATTTCAAATGCCAGCATCTGTATGGTATGGGAGTGCATTAATGCACATGGCATAAGTGACATGCACATGTGTGAAGTCACCATTAATACTAAATGACATATACAGGTTTTGGCAACATATGCTGCCATCCAGAAGACATATTTTTCAGGGAAGGCCTTGATTATTTCAGCAAGACAATGTACAAACAAAAAAAACCATTTTGCATGTATTACAGCAGCATGGCTCTGTAGTAAAAGAGTCTGGTTGCTAAACTGGCCTGTCTGCAGTCCAGACTTGTCAACCATTGAAAACATTTGGCTCATTATGAAACGAAAAATATGACAGAGGAGACGCCGAACTGTTGAGCAGCTGAAATCCTATATCAACCAGGAATGAGAAAACATTTCAGTTTCAAAACTACAGCAGTGTCTCCTCAGTTCCCTAACACTTACAGAGTATTGTTAAAAAAGAGGTGATGCAACAAAGTGGCAAACATGCTACCGTCCCAACTTTTATGGAATATGTTGTGGGCATCGAATTCAAAAAATCTTTCAAAAAACAGTAAGACTTGTCAGTTTCAACATCTGATATGTTGTATCTGTTCTATTTTCAATTAAATATAGTGTTTACATGACATGCATATCATTGCTTTCTATTTTTATCTACATTTTGCACAGCATCCTAACTTTTTTGGGAACAGCTCCATGAGCAATAAACTTCTTAATTACATTAACCACTGTTGAAACAGGGATGTCAATGACTTTGGAGATGGCCTTGTCCTTTTTATCATTCTTGTGTTTGAAGATAACAGCATGTAATATCAGCTTTAAAAAATCAGCTAAATCTGGACAAACTATTACGCATCCCCAAAAAAGAAAAGGTTACATGACTAACAATAACCCTTTCTGGTGCTATAATGGAAGCATTTATAAAAAATTCTTTGAAGAATTATACATAACAGGTTCTCAATTATGGAGACAACAACAACAACAACAACAACAACAATAACAACAACAACAGCAACAACAAAAAACAATAATAATAATATTAATAAGGGCTGGTGTTAATTTATTCATAGATCTCCTGCAAGCACTGTCCAGTGTAGTCTGCTGATGGTGCTAAAGGTGCTGAATGTACTGCCTTAAAAAGCTATTTAAAGGCTGTTTTTGTATGAGAGGGTTACAATCGTGGGTTCTATCATTGCCACACACAGTGTGCAAGCAGCTGGGCTTCAGCCTGGACTACTATGTATGTTTAAAGTTTAAAAGGCCAAAAAATTGGCGTCAGTCATTTGTCACGTATCAAGCATAATCAGAATGGCACACATCAAAGAATAATTATTTTCTTAACTGCATAGAACCACTTCATACATACACACACACACACACACACACAAACACACACACACGCATTTTATACAGACATATACATACATCTCATTTCTTTCATTAAAGAACCTTTAATAACCCCTATTTAGACTGAAGTTGTGAAGTTGAAGGGTTAAAGAAAAGTGCACTAGCTGACATTTTCCAAATTCCAGAAGCCAATGAGGAACCTCTAAAAATACCCTGGAACTCTACTGTATGTTTACCCTCAGATTCTGAGTATCTGTGTTGCTGCCTGCTTTTGAGCCATAGGATGTTGTCTTATCTCAGGGACATTCAGAAATTTCAGAGCAGCAATGCTCTGTGGTCTGATCACAGTTCAACATGACACAAATGGCACTGATTACACATCTGTGAAACTAATACTCAAAGCTGCTGAGTGTGTGCACAAAGTGCTGGCGCATAAATGCTGGTGAATTAGTTAATGAAGTATTGAGTTGAAATGAAATGTTTTAGAAATGAGGTAACTCCCTGCCTTACCTGCTAAAGTGTAATCCATGTCAAAACCAAAGCATTTGATCTTCTCCATAGCCAAACTTCTGTTCACAAACACTCTGAAAAGGAAGCAGAAAATCAGGGCTTATCTATTTACAGAAAAATACAGTGGTAATATTTCATATACGACAAGGTTTCTAAAAGATAACATCATCTAGGCCATCGGACAGATTCTATGTGTATTTTTACTTCATTGTCCAAGACTAGAGACACAGTATTAAATATTCTTTATTAACACAAACACTGCAGGGATGAAAAGATCTCCACATGTTGGGAGATAAACCTTTTCCCACAACTTCCCAATCAATCCTATGTCTTTGATGCTCCTGACCTAAATCCTCAATAAAGCCCATCATCTGTCCCTCTAAAAAAAAGATTCCCGGATTAATTCTCTCCATGCAGCTACTCTTTTGTAATAAATAAAATCCCACTGTGACAGGTTCTGCATGCTGAGATTGATCTGTGGCGCCGTGTCATGAACATGCACTTGATCCTGAGCTCTCTGTGATAGATCGGGTCTTTAGTAGGCCTTATGTTATCCCCTCTAACAAAAATAAATCAGAATCTGGCCTACTAAAAATAAAGGCACCAAAAAAGGCTCTCTGGATTGATACAAATGAGATATATGAATGTGAAGAACCTCTTTAAAGTTTAAAGAACCTCCAGAAAATGTAAAAGAATTAGGACGCTTATTGTTTAACCATGAAACTTTAATTAGGTTCTTTAAAGAACCTAATTAAAGTTCTGTTTAACTTTTTTTTCATAGTAAAACATGTTGGCACAACATCAAACTGATGGTGGACTCTTTGTGTAGAGAAGAGCTCCAACCAGACTGCACTGAGAGTTCTGTAAAACACAGAGGTGGAAACATCAAAGTTTTTCTCACAGTGGTGTTCACTGATAGGATCATGAACTCAGACATGTACTAAGATCTCATAAAATAGATCAACCATTTAATGGAAAACAACAACTCTGGCAAAATAAAAGTACACTTCATTTGGATCTTGTCCTCAGTAAGCCTTGACTCGTAACTTGTAACAACTTCTAGACATAAGACACAGTTTCTACTAATTCAAAAAATAAATTTAACACTAAATAAAGAGGAACAATTATGGGGAACCAAAAGTACAACTCAATCTTGTTTTCAGTAGCACTTGCAATCTGCAACGAGTCTCAATGGTATAAATGGTAAAACATTCCATAAAATAATAAAAAAAAATGTTACTATTAGGTTACAATACAGACCAACCATATTACTCCCATAACAATGGGAAAACAAAAGAACTCTCAGTTTGAATCTGGTCTTTTGGTAGCCCTCGGGCTATTGAAAACAATTGATCAAAATCTGGCCTACTACTGAACAAATTTTAACATTCTGATCTGCAAGTAAATCGCAGGGGTGAAGGACATTCTGTAAAACTGACAAACATTTTTATCTGTGAAAAAAATGTAGCCACTAGTTACCTACTAGATTTAAATTCACCAAACGAATAGCAATTATGGTAAAAATTGCATTAATTTGGTCTTTAGTATGACTTGTGAGTCCTAACTGGAACAATGAATCAGAATCTGACTTACTACTGAACAAATTTTAATATTTTGAACTGCAAACAAGCCACAGTGGTATCAGAACATGTTGCATAAAAGTGTCAGACTACTGTTAGACACTTAAAACTGTTACAACAATATCAGAAATGGACAGTAACAACTATGGAAAAATAAAAGTTCGCTTCATTTGGATATTGTCCTTAGTAGGCCTTGACTGACAAAACAAAAAAAATCTGAATCTGGCTAATGCACCAATTGATATTTTTTGATGTGCACAGGAGTGACATGGGTAAGTCACAGGGTAAAACTGGTAACTACTGTTAGACATAAGAAACAGTTACTACTTATTCATAAACTAAATTCACTGTTAAATGAACAGCAAAAATTATGTACACTCAATTTGGTCTTTAGTAGGACTTGCGCCATCCTCTCTGGGAAAAAAGTCAAAATCTGGCTTACCAGTTTTATGCTGTGACTGCGGCCTTAATGGTATCAGAAGACATTACATACAACTACTGGCGACTACCAGTAAAAACAGTTACTACTAGTTCATAAAACAGGTCAACCATTAAATGAACAGCAACAATAACAGGAAAACAGAAGTACAGTTTGCTTTCACAGCCCACAAATGCACTGGCTAGTTACCATTACCACAAAAACAGCACCCAAACCTGACCAACAAAAACAGTTCAACCTTTAACTGCACAGCTATAATTATAGGAAACAGTACACTGAATTTAGTCTTTAGTGGGAGTAGTTTGTGCTATCCCCACTGGAAAAATTAATCTGAACCTAACCTACTATTAAACAAACTATAAATTTTGAATTGCAAATAAGCCACAGTGGTGTCAGAAGGTGTTCCACAAAACTGGCGACTACTGTTAGACACAAAAAACAAATTCATATAACAGATCAACCATTAAATGAATAGCAACAATAACATGAACAGAAAAGTACAATTTGCTTTCACTAGCCACAAGCAAACAGCACCCAAACCAGTTCTTTTGTGACTGCTAAGCTATTTCGATTCAACCCTACCTCGTAGCGGCACAGTGTTGGACCATCTCCCATGGTTCACTCTGGCAGGTAGGACACGTACGACGCATTCTGGTTGCGGATGCCACTTCTACAGCAAGACTGTAAATCCAAACTACCTGTCCACACCGTTACCCCTATGGCCTGACAACAATGCCCCACTCTCTTTGCTTCCTTGCCATTCAGTTTCTCACTTGTTGCAAAAATGATTGTGGCGGTTCTGTGACATTCTCTGTTGTGGGGTCTGTTGTTGAGTTGGGGGTTGTTTGCTTCCCCTCAAAGACATCTAGAACAATCAAACAGGGCTGGAAGAACTGGGCTGTATAGTGACTCAGACAACAGAGAGCCCCACAGGCAGTGTCTGGCTGATAAACAAATGCATCAACAAGTGCTTACAGAGGAATAAATCTTTGACATTTTAGATCCTAAATCTCAGAACTGACCACTTTTATTGTACAAGGGCATCGCCTGTAATTATCAAGTGATTACTGAGATGTGGGTCTAGTACTATCTATGTACTTTAAGCCCTCACACTCGGTTAAGCTTGAAAGGTTGATGAATTTGATCTGTTACTGTATTGCACCATTACGTTCCACAGGGTTGACTTAAGGGCAGGGTGTAGCGTAACACATACCAGATAACAGGGTCACCTTTGGACCTCAAATCAAATGGACAGTATGGCAAGAGGCCTCCCTGCACTACGCTCACGTTTTAGCACACTGTCATTATCACATGGAAAAAGGAGGCTGTCATTTAGCGTTTAGCAAGACTAATGGCTATGAACCTACATTACATGCTGTAATTAACTGTTACAATTAACCGTGTGAGTCAAGCCATTTGAACAGGCTGGACGGCATGATAATATGATAGTAAGCCTTTCTGAGCATACTGTGGTTTCACTGGATGAATGTGTAGTGAATTTATAAAATATTTGTACTCACAGTTTTTGATAACATTTTTGAGATATGCCTGTGGTACACACTGTCTATTGCCCCGTGGCCTGACCACAACTATTCATTCATTCAATTTCAGCCACTATAAAGAGCGTGTGGCCCGAGCGGCTACCTGCCTTAGAGATTTGTTTATATTTTCTCATTTAACAAACCTGTTTTGTTGGACACATAACTAATGAGACAAATCAGATTTTGTTGCAATCTGTTAACCGTTATAACCGTAATAGCTAACGTGGCAGTGTGGTGGTTCCCTCTGCTGAGCTGGTCCGGCTTGCGTAAACAATGCTGTTTCAGTGGCTAAAGTTTGCTAATATCACTCTATTAAATAAGGTCTTAAGTAAAGTAAGGTGTTAAGCTGGCTAGAGGCTTTTATTGCATTACTGGACAGTATCTAAAGAAATAACTTGGGTGACGTCAGGGTGAACCAGCTTAGCAGGGAGGACCACTATGGTCACCACAATGACAAGGTTCTCAATGTAAAGTCTGAACAAATATTTACTTTTTCAAAACAACACTTGACTGGTTTTTGGTACTGACACATGCTTGCTCATTATAAATTCAATGTACATACAATCAACATGTTTCTATTATTCCTGCCACAAACTCTAGTGGGCAGTGCAATTCATTGGCTGATTAATTGTGTCTGTTTCAACTGATCAAACAACAACCAGAAAAGAAATATCAGGATATGTACTTTGCTTTTGAAAATGTTTAGTGCATTTCTGACACAGAAATCCTGAAAATGCTAATCATAGAGTATTATGACAATGTCTTCTTATTGCTGTGATATTGTATTTTTGCATATTGCCCACCAATACATTCAAATACTGACAAACCTTGAAATCCAAAAATCTTTCAAAGTCAAACAGAGACCTTGTTCTGTTCAATGAATGTCATGGACACTCGAGTGACACCTCCAATGGCACCATTTTTTTTTTTTTAGATTTTTCCCTCTACTCCTCTTCAGAAGTGTTAAAAATTTACATGAGTCCCCAGGGTTTAACTGCGCACAAGTCACGTGTTCTGCCAGGACTTTCCACTCTACTATTTAGCCAGCGTGGCTGGAGGGTTTGTCCTATAATTAGACATCTTTAGTGTCTATTTTAGCTTTGAAATGTCAATTTACAAGTCAATGTGCTGGTAAAACAGCACTCCCACATTTTTACAGCCATGAAGCGGATAGCTTACATTTATGACTCAGCATGTCGAAAGCAAAGAGACTGAGCGTGTGTTACTGGAAAGGAAATCAAAACTGATGTAAAAATGCAGTTATCTTGAAATGAATCGCATTTAAGCCTCATTTCCAAGGCACTTTTAAGAAACAAAACAGCTTGCCAGTGCATGCGCTCCACATAAGGAAACTAAGCTGCAAAAACAGCATGTTTTGAATTCATTGTTTTTATGTCATGAAAAGCAACACGTTTACTAATATAACAACCTATTCAGCCTGCAAGCAGTTTAGCCCCAACAATTCCTGTTGAAGCTATAAGGAGTGTTTCAGCCTGAACTGCTTTTTTGAATGAGGCACAATGTTAGTCAGTAACTAAAGAGTCTGAGGTTAAAGACAGGTTGGAAAATGGTCATGTAAAAAATTACGACCAATTTGGTTCATAACCCTACACAAATATCATAAATGGACCTCAGGGGAAAAAGATACATAAAAAATATACCATATGGCCCCTTTAATCTAAAGAGACACAAAGCACAAAAAGTGGTTTCCATTTAACACTGCGCTCTGAGACCTTCTGTCAATAAGAAACTGTAAGTTCTATTTGAGACAGCGACACACTATCCCTAACATTGGACAACTGACAAAGTTGTCTTGCTGCTATAAAAGCAGCTGACAGATCAACAGACCACATCTTCATTAACAAGTCTGGAACACAAACATAGTTAAATCATGCTTATTATAACTCATATCTAATAAATCTAAACCTCGTTCCATGAAAACTGAGACCACTATGAATCACACATCAGCAGCTCTGGTCTAAGCACATAAATTCTCTCCATTCACTCACACAGAAACAACTCTGGCCTGCTGCTGGACGATCACTGTAGAATCTGAAGTGGTCCTCTACAGGGATATACACACCAGATGACCTTCATACTGTTAACTGTGTCAGTCTTTCTTCTCCCTGCTCAGGCTGAGAGAAGAAAGACTGGTTGAAGTCGCTTCTCAATCGCCAGCTTCTTGTTCGAATTTTCCCGTTCCACCTTAAATGGTACCTGAGGCACCAGAATGTAACTGCTGCACCATTTGGAACAGGAAAATTAGAGCTGGGAAATGAGTGTTCGACAGTTTTTCACTGCAGATCAAACATATCAGGAAACCAGCTGGAGAAGTTGCAAATGCAAATAAGTCAATTCGTCTCCAAGTTATCCATGTTCATCTTAAATCTTTCTCTTTGCCGTTTCGTTAGCTACTAGCTGGGCGAGAATGTTTTCAGCATTGCTTTGGTGACCAGCAATCTGCACGCCAATCTTCAGGGTTAATGGCTGGTGAATTAGCAGTTATACCTTAACTCCAGCATGTAAGACAATTTATTTGGGAAAATGCCATAGAAGAACTGCTTTCAGTTCCCAAAAGAACCTTTCAATAAACGCTTCTTTCAGAAACTATTTTTATAAGCGAGATGTACCTGTGAAGAACCTTGTTAAAGGTTAAAGAACCTCCACTTACTGTAATGCAACTATAACCATTAAATGTTTTTTCTTAGTACTGTACGTCCAAGCCAACACCATTTGGTTTATTTTTGAGTGAAGTGTTATTCTATTCAAAGTAAAAGGGAATTACAGGCTAACACTAGCATTTAAATCTGTATAGCAGCACTACATCCCTCAGACTCAATATTTTAAAATGTTTCACATTTTTATTTAATAATTTCCACGTTTTCATCCATCAGTGTTCTCTCACTACAATACTGAGCATGCATTACACAAATACATGTCATTTGGAGTTCCTGAATTTCTACAACAAACCATGAGTCCTAGCCGCTGATCTAGAACCTAATAAGAATGTTTGTGTTGCTAGTTAGCTTTAGTGATATAGCATTAACTTCAGTTAGTTGTCAAACTTCCTTCTTAGGTACAGAAAAAAAGTCATTCAGCTAGTGAAGAAAAAAAAATCCTCCCAAGTATCCAATCCAAAGACTTTCGAAATTTACTTCTACCTCCAAGATATATCAGCCAAAGTGGGTTTTCTAGTCTTTGAACCTGAAATTTCACTGTACTGACTACTGTAGCATCGCTGTAAATGGCGAGTAGGCATTTTTACAACGCAGCCAGTGACAGTTACAGTTTTTATTTTAGTCAGAAAGTCCCTTTAGGAACTGAAGCAGTATAGTGCTGGTTAGTTTACCACATTGCAGCACCAAAAATGCTTTAAACTTTCAATACATCAGAGAATGCTATTTACATATACTGCAGCACATAAATGTTGGCACAGTAGTTGGCATTACAGGGGCAGGTTTACTGCTTCATCTCAGAGAAATCTGATAAACCTGCACTTTCTTGGGTGTGACACAGATGGTAGTACAAGGTGGGGCAATGCCCAACTTGTTCTAAACAACGCTCTATTGAAATGCATCCAAATTATACTTGTGTGACTTGAATAGCAGCTACGATGTCATTTTTTAACAGGTGAACTATTATTGCTGCCAAGTTCAACACCATGGGATTTTTAGAGCTTTCCACACTGTTTTCTGTTGAAATACAGCATCACACCAAAGATTAGAAAAGATTAGACGTTATACACAAAGCTAATCCTCCATTAATAGACACTTGGATTTTGACCTTAATTATTATTGCTACCCAGGTAAGATCTCCAAGGCTGTTGGCTACAAGGGGCAAAGAACAAAATGTTTACCTAGTGTTGCCCATATAATAACACCCTGTAGTAGTATCTCTTCTCCAGTGCAGCACCCATTCACTTCCCAATTTAGTGAAATAAAAGGTTCTTTGGAGTAATGCCATTGCAGAAGGAACAACTTCTGCTTCCTTAAATATCTTTTTCATGGATGAGTTTCAAAAGAATCATTGGTACAAATGAGTTGTGTTAATGTGAAATTGTTTTTAAAGTTTAAAGAACCACCACATACCAATGAATACCAATACCAAAGAAGTTCCATATACCAATTAAAGAACCATTAAGAAACTATGGCCTGTCACAGTAATGCAATTAAAGCTGACAGCTGATCGCCACCTATATAATTGTGATTAACGATAATTGTGATTAATCTTTTTTTTTGTTCATTGTATGTAACTTACTTACAAGTCTAATGTGGCCAAATGGGCTGATTAGTTATCTGTTGATACAGAAACAGAAGCTCACTACTGTCCTTTAAAGGTTCTAAGCACTAGTCAATTGCTATTGGCTCTATCTAGCATTATTGAAGGCCTCAGAAAGCTCTTTTGAGCTAGGCTTGATGATACACACACTCAAATAAGAAAGAGCAAACCAGACCAGACATCTGAGGTTTAAATAGATATTCTCTAACAGATTTCTGATCATTAGCATCTGATGTCAGTTTGACATTTTTGAAGTAGTGATATCCATAAGTGTGTACTTACCTTTTCCACACAGGAAAATTGCATTACTGTTTATTTCAAAAATATATAAAGGATGAGTAAAATGTTAATTCTATGTGTCACTTATATAAATTATATCACCTTTATCTATCAACACTGTTAAAATGATGTTGATATCTGTATCTCCAAATATGTTGAAGAAGTCTAAACTTTTCACGGGGTGTACTTACTTCTTCACATGATAGTACTTGCATTTTCATCAACGCAATGGATAAAAAACAAACCCAATTCATGTTCTATTTGTTGCAATGTACACATATGATTGTGAAAGCTGGCAACTGTGGAAAATAATTTCGGTCAGCTTAAATAATTGTAGTCAGCTTAAATAACGCCAACCAGGTAACTATGTAATAACTGTGACAGGCCAATTAGAAACCTTGTAGAAATGCCACCAATTTAATACCACATATCAGTACTGACCAATACTGAAGGCTTCAGTACTAGAAAGGAAATAAATGGTACTGTGATGTATCTAGAAACTTCATTTTTAAGAATATAACTGATTCCGTTCTTGAAAGGCTTCATAAAAAGTTACTTTTTCAACCCTTTCATACCTATGATATGCCTCGCGTCTGTATTTCTTCATAGCCAACCCGTCCATGTTTGCTGGGAGGTCTGCATAATCCTGAAGTCGGTCGCTCCATGATGTAGTCATCTTTAAATCCCTCAACCTAAAAATTCAACCTGACGGGGTAAAAAAAACAAGATTGATATTATGGAAACCAAGCTTCAGTGACTTCTAGTTTAGCTTCAGTTTCATATTCAGCTCTTGAAGGGGAGAATGACTATGAAGGAGGATCTCTTCCTCCTTTCCTTATTAATTCTGAGAGGGGAACTGAATCACAAGCCCATTAACATAAGCGCAAACTCAATAAAATCACTTTGAAGTCACAGACTTCAGAAGATCAACCATTAATCTCGCCTCTCAGCTGTGGGCCATCTTTGAACTAGATTAAATTACTGCCCAATGAGGAATGAATAGACACTGACTGATGTCTTTATCTAAATAATTGGAATGGAAAGTGTGGAGCCTTGAAGTGTTAAACAAGCCTGGCCTTGTCAAACAGACACAAAGCAAAACTGAGTAGTGGTGATCAAGTCTGCCATCAAGGCTTTTCAAGTGAAATCACATTTAGATCATGTCCAGTATCACAAGTGAGTTTCCAATTTAATTTGGCCAGTTCAGTAACCCTGAGATGGAAATGCCTCAGTGTATAGTTAGGACTGAATTAGCAGAGTAAGACAGGCAACCAACCAAACTCAGAATCATCTGTCATCATCTTAGTGGACAATTCAATATCATGATCTTTTTTTCTAGATCACAGTAACAGATGATATTTAGGTTGTCATGAATAAGGTTACTGAACCCATTCTAAAACAATGTCTTAACAACCTGATATAGCTTTTTATGATGGGGCTTCTTTTGTTTTGTTCTGCTTCTCTTAAATTCACACCAATACAATCTAACACAGCATTTTATGTGGGTGAGCAATATGTTCATATTGTATCGTATTGTGATAAATTACATCATGATATTCCGCAATGTGTTTTTCTGAGCATAGAGTGGATATCATCAGTATGAAGAGCATAATTAGTCCGATTTAACTGGATTTTGCGCAGTGCAATATGTGAGATGTACTTTATTGCACTTATAACTTTAGATACTGTTTTTAAATGTGGTACTTCCAAATTTTCAAACCACTAAAATCTAAATCATGTATTGTGAAATGTGAAAATGTCATAATATTGTATTGTTTCAATACCGCCCACCCCTAGTATTGTAAACATTAACCAGGCACCAATCAGAATTTCAGAAATTTTTAATCTATCTCGGACTCTTCTTTCAAAACAGCCTGAAGCACTCAGCAAATGACAAGCGCTGCAGTTAACTTTTCATCATCTATCAATACTGCTAAAACTAAAAATCAATATTGTTGTTTGGCACCAATACCAGTATACCGATACAGACTATATATCACCCAGCATTAGATGCCACCAAATGAGATGTTCTTGCCTCCTTTATAGATTGAGATAAACTAACCCACATCTTACAGGACATGTAATTTCCTTCCCAAACTACTGAAGCAAGACGAATGGTTGGCACTGCGACTGCTAGAGTCAGCATTTCTAGGACCCTATAACTCATGACAGCTGACTTGTGCAAACAAGCTGGAGGCCTGAGGGGTAAAGGACAGAGCGTCTCCCAACAGCCTTGCACTTCCTCGCCTGAACACTGAGGAAACTCTGAAACAAGGCTGTTTGAAATGGACTCCACACAGCGATGACATCATTTCACTGATCTGAGAATAAACCTCCACAGTGGACTGTTGTTTCTCAAGAGGGGTGGACGCTGTTTTTTGTTTCTCTTTCAGGTTTCAGACCAATCCTTCATGTGAAAAAGAAATGCTCTGGAAGAAAACAGACCCCCCTCCTCAAAAACTAGGCTAAATCTCCACTGCATCTTAACAGCCTGACAACTTTGCCGCAAGCAGACAGAAAAATAGTGGGCCAAAGACGAATGCCTTCTGGCAAAGTTCTGGTACATTCTGGCTACAAAATAAGGATAAGTTTTCCATGTATAGACATGTACATATATGTATACGTACACATCCTATACAGAGAAACTTTTGCACATTTCAAGCCACAATTACTGTTTATTTGCTGAATTTTTTCCATACTGGGAACAAAGTAAAGCATAAAATATGGCCATGCAAAAGTTCTAGCACATTTTATATATTACCATTTTCCATCTTCCAACATGCCAAACTTAGCAAATAAAAACTGTGCACTAAAATCAAAACGTGATGTGAGCAGGGGGCTTCAAACTTGAACCTGGTACATAGTTAACAGTTTTAGGGGAAAAAAAAAAAGCTTTACTATTTCAGAGATTAGGGGATCAATTTAGCTAATAAGTAAAGTTATGATATCATACTAATGACTTTATCTTAACATCTAGCGAGCTGTCAAGTTCTGTTGCTAAGCTAGCCATCTTAGCTGATTAGCCCAGTAACTTAGTACAGCTAGTGCAGTGAAGATGACTGACCGACTTGGTAAACCAGCAGATTTGTTTATGTTCTTTAGTTTATGAACAAACAGCTAAGTTAACCTAGCTAAGCATTTAACAGTAAAACGGGAAAGGTGAGAAACAATAACAAGGTTAGCAGGCTAGCACTGCAGGGAACTAACCAGCCGCTGCCGTTAAGGTTAACCTGACTGACTACTAGGCTAGCTGGCTAACTAGTTAGCCTGGCGAATAGATAAACAACTGCAAGCCCTCCTCGTCTTTGTGCAGGGCAACGTCAAACATCGCCGACCCTTTGTGTTAATTTAGCTGCCGCAGGGAAGCCCACATGCATGCAAAGGAGGTCGACAGTCTGCTTAGGCTGAAAACGAACCCCAGTAATATATGCAGCTATTCCGAGAAAAAGAGAAAACGCTGAAATAACTGTGCTCTGGCTGGATTTTCGCTCACTCACCTTTCTCTCTGGAGCAAAAGCAACAACTGCACAGGCTGGAAATCTGAGCATGCGCTTTTAAACAAGACCAGAATAGGAACAACACGTCTCTTAAGAAAATAACGAACGCACTGAGTCGGTGTTGGCAGTAAGTCGGTGTTGGCAGCCGCTCGTCTCCGCTTTACAGTGAATGAAAACCCGTCTCTCCGCCTCGTTCATAACACTGATAGAGCAGATAACAGTCGATACGCGGCGGAGATGGGCGGGGCTTCGCGAGAGGGCGGGCCGAACTGTCACTCGTCACAAACGCGACGGGCGGGGTCTGAGTGACGGGGCGTGGCGAACTGTCATTCATCACCAGTTCGGTGGGCGGGGTTGGGCGAAGGGGCGGGGCAGACCGTCTCCATCACAAACTCCTCGTTGAGTGTAAATAAGCAGTCCAAAAAAGTTTAAAGTGAACAATTTTTAACTGTAATATCGTGATTTTTTATGTAATAAAAGAAATGCTGTGTCTCATGACTGCAAGACTAATTTTGTGCCATCATCCATTGACTAGAACTGAAAGAAAAAGAAAGAAAAGAAAAAAGGAAAATAGAGCCAGTGGTTGCTTTTTATTGGATGGAGGTTCACCTGTAAAATATGTGCATTTCGCGTCTGTTCTGTAAGCACAATAAATGATATACGTTATTCAAAAGGGGAATTCTTCCATTTTTTTTATTCAAAATTTTTGCAGTGGTAAAGATGTGAACACGGAGTGGTTTGGTGTAAAATGCTCCGTTCAAGAGAAACCCACTGAGTCAGAATTGTTCACAGTGGCGGTGATAGGAACCAGACGTCCGAAGAGTTTAATGCTTCTAAAGCTCCCTCACAGAAAACTATTACACAAAATCTCTTTGTATACACTGCCTGATCTGTGTTGTAGACATTGCGACCCCTGGTTCCCACCACCACCATTTCTCATATAACCACTCTGTATTACTTAAGAACATTTTGGAAATTCGGTGGAATTCTCCTTTAAATCAGGCAAGTCAGTTTTAGCTCTCAGATTTAGCCTATAGGAATTTAGAAACACATTGGAGCACATTTCGTATACGCACGCATTCAAAACAAAAATCCTTTCATTTCAAATCAGCAAGACAATATGAGGCATACGGATCAGTGAGCAGGGGGTCAGCGTCAGTGTCCCCCCACACTAAATGCACTGAGATGCTGTGAGCGTCCAATAGAGGGCAGCAGAGCACTGCAGAGACTTCTGTTCTCCAGTCCAGACGCTGACTTCACAGATCTGAATGTGTTGTGGCTAAATTTAGAAGGCAGCGAGCTGCATAAGACCCAGAATTGTCCACCAATGTGAAAGAAAAGTCAAATATGAGCAGAAACGGTGAGGCTAAAAGTCAAAGTCTCCATCTGAGAGCATCTGGAAAGAATTAGTCAGGTGACCAGACATTGCAAATGATGTCATATCGAATAAAACCATCACATCAAATCGTTATTATCATTTTAAAATCTCTTTTATTCTTAAATCAACTCTCTATACAGGCTAGAGCGCATCACGCATGCGCAATATTGTACTATAACCGCTCTGCTTTTGTAAATTCATTTATAGAATTCAAAGTTGGCTCCACCTTTCATCTGAATACTTCTCTGGTCTTCTCCCACGCTGAGATGAGGCGGTGGGATTTCTCCACGGATGCCAAAGATGTTTTTCTTTTTTTTTCTTGCTGACATCAGCACTGCGCCAAAACGGACAGTTCCATCCGAGCCCCCCCTTCGCCTTTTTGGGGTGGCTCTTTATCCTAGAACTTCAAAAACGGGGTTCTGTCTTGAAATGTTCTTGATGGCTTTTTGAAAAGTGAGACAAAGTGTCTCGTTTGTCTTGGTTTCAACGAGGCTCGATTCTTATTCGTCTGCTTTCCGCGCTGGGGCAGTTTGGAGGCGAAGGTAGGAGTGAATTATTGATTGGGACGGTCCTGGGTGTATAAAAAGAGGGGGCGCAGCCCAAACCCTGCTCCTCATCTCTCCAACCGCCAAGATGAGCTACGGATCCGACGTGTACTCCTCCTCTTCTTCCTCCTACAGGAAGATTTTCGGGGACTCTCCCCGCTACTCGTCCTCCCCGTCCAGGATGAGCTCCTCCAGGAGCGGGTACAGGTCCCTCTCCCTGTCCCGCACCAGCACTCCATCCCTGGGCTCCTACAAGCGCACCGGCGCCGGGCGCAGCGCCCTGTCCTCCTCGCCCATGGCGCTGGAGACGTTCGACTTCACGCAGAGCTCGGCGCTCAGCAACGAGTTCAAAATCATCCGCACCAACGAGAAGGAGCAGATGCAGGGCCTGAACGACCGCTTCGCCATGTTCATCGAGAAGGTGCGCAACCTGGAGCAGCAAAACAAGGTGCTAGAGACCGAGCTGGTGGCGCTGCGCCAGCGCCAGTCCGAGCCGTCCCGCCTGGCCGAGCTCTACCAGCAGGAGATCCGCGAGCTGCGCTCCCAGCTCGAGGAGGCGCACGGCGAGAAGAACCAGATGATGTTCGAGCGCGACAACGTGGAGGAGGAGCTGCAGAAGCTGCGCGAGCGCTACGAGGACGAGGTCCGAGCTCGGGACGAGGCCGAGCGCACGCTCAAAGCCTTCAGGAAGGACGTGGACGACGCGTCGCTGGCGCGCCTCGACCTGGAGAAGAAGGTCGAGTCGCTGCTGGACGAGATCGCCTTCCTGAGGAGGGCGCACGACGAGGAGGTGGCCGAGCTGATGAACGCCATCCAGGCGTCCCAGGTGTCCGTGGAAATGGAGGTGGCCAAGCCCGACCTCACCTCGGCCCTCAAGGAGATCCGCGGCCAGTACGAGTCGCTGGCCTCCAAGAACCTGCAGTCCGCCGAGGAGTGGTACAGGTCCAAGTTCGCCGACCTGAGCGAGCAGGCCAGCCGCAGCAACGAGGCCATCCGCGCCAGCCGCGAGGAGGTCAACGAGTTCAGGAGGCAGCTGCAGTCCAGGACCATCGAGATCGAGAGCCTGAGGGGCACCAACGAGAGCCTGGAGAGGCAGATCCGCGAGATGGAGGACAGGCACAACCTGGAGGTGGCCGGCTTCCAGGTGAGTCGCCGTTCGAGATGGCTGGGATTTTTTTAGCGCGCTTCAGGCGACAGGGGGCATCAGGACCACCATGGTCTGGTGGTCTCTCTGCTTAAGCGCACCTGATTCATCTGATCAGTTAACTTCTCGGTTTAGTGGGTGTTTTACAGCAGGGCGATCGCCAAACTGTGCTGGACTCCAAAGCTCTAATGTAGAGCTGGTCTCGTGATTTGGGTGTGTTGAGAGGAGGATGAGAACAAAAGTAAACTAATACTATTTAAATAGTTGTATATTATTATCTCTCCCTCAATCTTTATAGGAATCGATACATTATAGTACTTTGAATTTGGTAGTTTTGATGTTTCAAGGCAGAACGTATTTTTTAAGCTTCCAAAAATAACTGCTTTGCCAATGATAGGCTTGCAGTGCCCCACCCATGCAAACAGCAAACCCCTCTAACCTGTCGAAGGTCTTCATTTCATTTCACTTCACTTCATGTACTTTACTGACAGCATCCCGAGTCACTGTGCCTTTAGAGATATCCATTAAAATTCGCTATTCAAAAACATTTTGAACCAAGGTAAAGACCACCTGGGTGACAGGGACCGCACCACCCTTCTCTCATGTGCTTTGGGGGGAAATAAATAAATAGATAAAACTTGGAGAGAATTTTAGTCAGTTTTCTCCACACGCTTTTCCATATGCATATGCATTTTGTCTTTGCCCCTCCCCTGAAATAGATTTTGAATAAAGGCTAAATACAGATGGATGTGATTCTCCCTATTAAATGCAAAACATCTCTTTCTCTCCAAAAATTACGCTTTTTCTACAGGCTAAACTATAATCCTTTTTATGTTGAGCCTCCTCTCCAAGTCTGTATGAAATCAAAACTCTAATAGACAGTAGCTGCATCCAGATAATGCTATTTTATACATTCAGTACTAATAAAAGCACTTTTGCTGGTGTTTTGCTATTTTTTGATGTATTATTTAGTATTTTAGTATGTGGTTTTGGAGGCAACCTTTAAGCAGTGGACTACAGAGACTAGAGATCACAACATGGGCGTGACCTTCACCATAACACAATGCCGCTCTGCCCACACGCTTTGAGAGCAACAGAAAACAAAAGCTACGTTTGTAGTAAGTTTTTGGAAACAATTCTTGTCAATAGGCTAAAGTAAACCCTTTCTGTGTGTGGTCCCCTCCTCAAGGCTTTAAAAAATCAATATTCAAATAGGCAGAGAGAGAGAGAGAGAGAGAGAGAGAGAGAGAGAGAGAGACTTATCTCTGCCTGGGTGTGATCTTCACCATTAACACAATGCCAACACCCCTCTATCTCTGTCCATGGTGCTGAAACCATTTAAGCCTGTGGGCACTGTGTGACCAGTTTTATGTATATAGGCTTCACATTTTAAGTGAAAGAGGTTTAGATTTATGTTAGTTTTCTAATTTTCCACAGGCACTAATACATAATAATATCTAATTTATAATATGTATAACACATAGCTATTTAGGTTTTAGGTGGTAGATATTTCAACGTAGAAGACGAAAAACGTGTTTTTGAAGTTCCAAAAACAAACGAGTAGCCAGTGGCGGGGGCTTCACCCATATTAAAAAATCTCTCTCCAACCTATCAAAGGATTTCACCTCAGCTTTACTTCATTTCATGGAATTACTGACCGTGTCCTGAGTCACCGAGTCTATAGAGATTTCAATTTTTGGAGGACAACTGTGAATAAAGTGTCATCTACATTCTAATATTCGGAAAATTGCTTTAATTTCAAAAGCCAGTCGAGTGGAAAATCCCTTTTGATTCACAAAGCAATTCTGACGTCTTTGACCAGGAGACGATCGGCGAGCTGGAGAATGAGCTCAGGACCACTAAGAGCGAGATGGCTCGTCACCTGAGGGAATACCAGGACCTGCTGAATGTCAAGATGGCTCTGGACATTGAGATTGCTGCTTACAGGTAACAAAGGAATCTTTTTAGAATTGGAAAGTGGGGCTTAATATGTAATTTATAATATGTATGTTAACCTTTAAGCACCCAGGAATGTAAATCTAAAGGCAATTTTATGAGTAACCTTTCACTGTTCCTTTGTAATTAATGCTTTCATTTCCACTCTGTCTTTTATTCCTCTCATGTTTTTGTCTTTTCTCTTCTTTGTTCTCTTCCACCTTCCCACCTTCCCTCCCTCTCTCAGGAAACTCCTGGAAGGGGAGGAGACCCGCATTGGCACAGGCATGGCCTACCCCATTCCGGGCTCTGTTTCTAGCAGCCAGGGCTACAGCTACCAGAGCCGTGTCTACACCAGCTCTAGCAAGAGTGTGAAAAAGGAAGCAAAAGACGACGAGGACAAGCAGCAGCAGGAGCAGAGCGGCAAGTCTGACAGCAACGCCTCCAAGAAGGGTGACAAGCCTGACTCCGGAGAAGTCAATGCAACCAACCAGAAGAACTAAGCCTCCTTCCTCTCCTTCTTCCCTCTGTCCCCTCTTCCCTTTCCTCACTAGTTTCCTCTCCTACACTCTTAAAAATAAAGGTCGAAGAGGGTTCTTTAGAGTTGATACCATAAAAAAAAGCCATTGTAGGTTCCTTAAAGAACCTTTTGGTGCCAATTAGGATCCTTTATTTTTAAAAGAGTGGAGACGTCTCAGAGAGGAACCCAATGTATCCGCATATCAACCAACTCTCTCTTTCTCTCTCCACTTATCGACTACAGCACTCTCAGTACCGGGGCGTTCGTCCCTTTATGATATACTGCACACTACTGAACGCACCTCAGGTGTCATACAGTCCACTCTCTGCTACTCTCACCGTTAGCCTATCCAGGTTCGCGTTCCGCATTAGATGTCATCTTTGGAAACCCTTAAGTGCACTGCCACAGGCTCCTCTAATCACATTCCAAAAAAGGATGTGTGTACTGTGCATGCGTATATGTGTGTATGTGTGTGTAAACATGCACAGTGCATTTAGTCGGTCCTCGCTAACTGTAACTGTTTTCGATCTCTTGGCAGACAAAAATGTAGGAAAAGACTGATAGTACTAGACTGCAAAGTTAGCAAGTGAGAGCTAGTATTCATGCTGCACAAAACAAGGTTTTGCTAGCTAAAACCAGCACAGAACTTGACCTGCAATACTGTCTTTGTCTGAGCCTTATTGCTCTATGCCATGGCAATGCTGTTATTAGCTGACTGTACAGCACCAAGGCCCTCATCACCTCATACATTTTGTACTTCGAGAAGTTGGGTTGCGCTCGTCTTCTCTCATTATTAGATGTTTGTAGACACATGAGTGTGCATGGTAACTTTGCATTGCAATTCAAGAAGGAACCCAGTTTTAGAACACCAAGGAACCTGGTGTTGTGGTTCTAAAAGTTCTAGCAGCTCTAGATTCTCTTTTAAAGCGCGAGTGTCCTCTCCAGCACTAATCGTGGTGCCAATTTCGAGTCCCAGTTCCCGGAAAATGTGAAAGATTTGAACGTACGTAGCAGCTGCTGCTGATGCATGATGTTTATACCCTGTTTGCATGGTGACGGTGTATATGAGCTGACCAGCAGTCCTCCATTGCCATAGGAATGGTAGGAACTTGAAAAGGGCAATAGTAGGTCCTCACCTTTTCTCAAAGTATTGATCCTACTGTGCGCACCTTTGATTTAAATACGTAAGGCTTTCTAGCCACAATGAGTGAGAGTTAACATCGAGTTGGTGAGAATGTGGCCCAATAACTGCCGATGCCTTTTCTCATGCTGCTTGTGATGATGATGATGCAGGGCACATTTGTCTTACGTCCCAATACCATCTCATTCCTATTGACTCTCAGACAACATCTTAAAGAGAAACGGTGCTGTTTAGGATTTTATATGTGCTAGTAGGCTGGAAGAAGAATGTGGTAACGAGTGTAGTTTGAATCTGAGAGAGAAAGAGAGAGACCTCTGATGTAGCAGCTTTGAGCTTACGTTCTCTTATAATAATAGCAGCAAGTTTGTCGAAACGAGAACAAACCCAATGGCAATTAGCACAAAAGCATGAGCAGATGATCTAAATGTTATGAATTTGTAGACTGACTTACAAAAGAACTATACATTATGCACAAATCTACCATCATCCATCATCCAAGACCTATAACTTCACTAAGCCTTATTAACAATGAGGAAATCTCGAGACATCATAAACACCCGAATGGACCACATGCTTCTGACCTCCTACTTCAAAAGGAACATCATTTAAAGGCACAATCTTAGACCCAACTGGATTAAAAAACACATGAAGAACAGGAAAGTCCATAATTAGGCGTGATGTGGGTCTACAAAGTTATGCTTTAAATCCTGTTAGGACTTGCAATCTTACAATCAGTGCTAGCGGCTTTTCTCTAATTCCACTTGAACACTGCCAAGTTTTGACACCACAACTACCGTCTTGCCTGCATCATTTTTTCCCACCCGTATTCTGTCCAGTTCTGCCTTCTGTGCTACGACTGGTTGGCAGTATCTCGCCTTTTGTGCTAGGATTATCTAGTGCAGTGGTCAATAACCTTGGTCCTGGAGATCCACCTTTCTGCAGAGTGTAGTTCCAACCACATGCTCCTGCTAGTTAGCTTCTTCAGAAGTCATCGATTGGATGGATCAGTTGTTTAGGGAGGTGTGTTAGATGCAGGTTGGGCAAGAAAGAAGATCTCTAGGAGTCGGCTTGGTGACCACTGGCCTAGAAAGTCATAGTAATACCACCAGTTAGCAGACTGTTTGAGAACTACCAGCCAATTCTCAGGTGATGGGAAACTCTTAGGGGGTGGGGCTTCTCAGAATACAGGTGTGGAAAAAAGATGCACTTTGTTTTTTTGTAGCTATTTTGTCATGGCAGTGTAGGCCTGACTTACTGCACTTTCCGCTGGATTGTACTACGAGATGGTGTAGGGGTTATTTTTTATTTTTTAAGATGCGTTAGATTCGCTAACTTGTTTTTCTCGTTAGGCTAACCTAGGCTATTTCCCATTAGCTTTGCACAGGCTGAGTTGTGAGGGAATTTTGGGCAAATCTGAAAGTTTGTCCGTCATATTCTTCACTTTTTCTCAGTTTTAAGTCTCTAGACATTTAGGTGTGAGGTCAGTCACCATCTGAAGGATAAATAGGATATTTTACAAAGCACTGAAACACACTTCAGTTGAAAAGAACACACAGTAAGCCTGCTATCTCTCACTGGCAACAATAACACTGCATGTGTACTTAATGACGTCAATACAAGTCAAGGCAAAACCAACAAGCGGTCTATAACAAATACAAAACACAAAAGACAGAAAGAAATCAAACATAATAATACTTTAGGTTATCAAAATGCCTTAAACCACCAGCAGCTTGCTGCAGCTAGCAGAGTGTGAGTTAGCAAATTGTTTGTGCTCTCATCGTTTTTTCTCTAGTGATTAGATGCTACACTGAATGGCTGAAATGAAGTGTTGAAGAATTGAATGTAGATTATGTACTCTACTCTTTATTCTGGATCTTAGCCTTCTGCTGTATCACAGTTGACCAATAAAGACTGGTATTATGAAGTCTATCTTGTTGTTTGTGTTGCTGTTTCAATCTCAGAATACTTACAAAGGTACATAAACTATACCTTCATTTTCACCATCCAGCATAATGTAATGTATATAAACTGTAATGCACAATGCTCTGTTTGTTATGATGTAGGCCAAGATACAATGGGATCATTACATTTATAGCGTCTTTTCACCATTTTCTTTCTTTTTTTACTGAATTACTTGTCATATAACCATCGAAATACTAGCATAATAGGAGGAATTGTGATAATAATTTGGATGGTGCAAAAATATTAATTTATACCTATAATGAGTGCTTATAATGCACTTATTTTTCTTTTTCAGTGATTAACCACCCGGCAGTTTCCAGTCTAGTAGGCATATCTGCAGACTAGATATGTAAAAGAATAAGAAAGTCTATAAGTGCGGTTCCACCATGAAAAAAAAAACAACAACAAAAAAACAATAAAGTGTTCAGATCTTTTATATTTACAATGATTGTGTTATGATATATTTAAACACAAGGCATTAATAGAGATAGCAATAATTTATTGGGTACTTTCTATTGGGAGGTGGCTAAACTGAAATTTCATTTTATTGATTTCTTTAAAAGTAAATTTGAAAGATTTTTACATTTTAAGTAAAAAAAACAACTTTATTCAAATGCTGACCCATGTTTTCATGTCACTGTTGAAACACAAAAAGTTTTAGTCCATACTCTGAGCCTTATTTTAGCCACACCCCTGCATTTTAGAGCAGGAAGTGAGCCTGCATCCCTGTCTTTCATGGTCGTATGGTGAGTCGCTAGATTCCATTGTTTTAAGGTAAATATGTCCCAAAATCTCTAAATCAGCGTTATTAAGAATAAATCAACATTAAGAATTGTCACTACTGAAACAAATATTTTCTGCAATTAAGCAAATGTTTCAATTAAAAAAGAAATGTAATGAATAATAGATAACAATTAAGTTTAATTAGTAATCATTTTATGTGTGTATGATTGTTCAAAGCTGTGTTTGCTAGTCACGTACTGGATATTGTTTTTGAGTTCTGCTCAAAATTAACTCAAATTGTCACTACTGAAACAGTCACTAATGAAACATTTGGCACAGTTTCAGTATTGTTATGATTATTTTGGTAGTGACAAAATGAAATGTTCAAGCATTTGTTTTGATAAAGTAAACATAATTAAGGTACAGGGTCATTCAAAGCAGAAGGATTTTAGTCTAAGTCCAAAATGTGTTTTCAATTCTGACTTTGAACCAATTTGCTAGAATTCTTATATATTTTGCCAGTAAAAACATTATACATTAGAATAAACGTAAACATATGAATCAACATAAATACACAAGTAAGTAATAAATACAAGAAAAAGTAACACAAATTTAGCATTTTGAAAAAAGTAGTTATAAGCAGAAAAGTTGATATCTTCTGAGCTAGTGTGAGCTAGAACAATGTTTGGTTCTAGATTTCTCCTGGACGCCCCAAGCCATCATACAGACTGCTTCTTAATGAAAATGCTTCTTAAACATTTATAAAATATAATATTATAATTATACAATATTATACACTATGCATTTGTACATATAGATGAACTTGGCTTTGCTTTGCTAAGTTGAGCTATTATTCTAGCTATGTTCCTGCTAAATGGAGTAGATGATAAAGTAATGTCCTGAAGACTAGTTTTGATGTTCAGCCATCCAGTCATGCATGCCTGCCTTATTTAACCTGATGGGTGGTCAGGGCGATAGAGGCCAGAACAGCCACACTGATTCCTTGTATGTATTACAATAAAAATCCTTAGATAATGATGGACTGTACTGAAAGGAACACACATACACACACAGTATTAATTCACACATGAACCTCCTGAACCTCACCCACATACGCCTGTGGCATCACACGCAGTTGTGCTGTGAGAGTGCTGGGTGGGCTGTGGCGCATGCAGCAGATCTTCAAAGATTTATACCCCTGCAGTGCCACCAAGCAGCAGAGAATGTTCCACTGTGAGGCTCCGCATACACACCCCCTAAGCCGACACCCTTCCCTTCAGATTGCTGCTGATACAGTTGATTATCTCTGCTGTTGTTGTCGTTGCTGTTGTGTTGCACGTTATTGCCCCCCAGCCTGACTGATGTCATCATCTGTTTCATAACAGATTTAAAATGCTACTGTTCCTGATGGCACAGTGACGGCTAATTTCCTGCCGCCATCAAGTTTCTATTATTGAATTTACACTCAGCAGAATACTGCAGATAATCTAAGAGGAGCCTGGTGCTAGTAGAGTGCGTGTGTGTGTGTGTGTGTGTGTGTGTGTGTGTGTGTGTGTGTGTGTGTGTGTGTGTGAAAGAAAATTGACTCTGGAATAGGCTGCTGTTAGATTCATAAACACACACATACAGAGGTTTTTATACATAACCAGGGCATGGGATGTATCCCACGTATTACATATTTGAGAGTATCTATATCTAGTAATAATATGTATCATATGCATTACATGTATGTAAGTATGTATTAATAATATGTACAAGAAGTATTAGATATTGTATAGCAGTCAGAGATCCCCTTCATCTATTTATATCCAATCAAAATGGCCATTAACTACAGTTTGTTTGTTTTTAGGAGATATTTCTGAGCAGATTACTCATAATATTTACTTGAAAGAAAGGGGGTCAAAAAAATAAAAAAAAGAGAAAAAACATTTTATAAGTATAACATTTTATAATTTAGAAAAGACACAGAGAAAATGTGACTCCTAACAACTGTGCAAGACCTGGTAGACCACCAACAACTGTCCCCATGTATATATATATATATATATAATATATATATATATATATATATATATATTTGCATATGTGTGTGTATGTGTATGTGTACTCTTAGCTCCTCCCTTTAATGATGCTGTTTTAAGCCTTTACTGAAGATTCATCTTATAACAGGTGCATTTGAAACCTATAATAGATGGATTAGATTTGTTCTTGTCTAAACAGTATAAAACACCAATCCTAAAAGCCTCACGATGGACTGAAGAGATATTAACATAGACAAATGTGCAGTAGCCTGATATTCCCCAAGGCTCTTGGGGAAGGGCTGACAAAGTCATTGACCTTTGATCTTTAGGGGGATGGGTCTATTCATTAAAAGCAAAGAGCAAAATCCCTCTTGTTGTAAATCTTATTGTGCCCACATAAGCCTACTCTGCTCAGAGTTAATATATCTACAGTTTACAGAAATGACCATTTTATATAATAGCAATTATACATCTACATAAAATTATAAGGGACCATTTGTATTTTTCAGTGTGCTAAGGATTTATCTGGCAGTTAAAGACACTGAAACTGATGTCACATATATAGGAACAGAGCGTTCAAGTACAGTGGCCACACACTTACACAGACACACCCACAGTCTGCTCAGATACTGTTAGAATATTGCCTCTGTAGCTCTTTTACCCTCTTCATCATGCTACAGCTGATAGAGGGTGAACAGATTGACAGAAGTGAACAGCTCCTCCACCACAAGTACCTCTCATATTCTGATTCTGTAGAAAAGGGTGCGTCTGGAACACTTTGGCTTTTAACACCTTCTATAGGAGCCTTTCAGTTTGGGCTGGTTCTTTGAACGATGAAATGGCTCCTCAGATTGATGCAGAATGTGTTGTATATAGTTCTATATGGAACCTATGTATACATGGTTCTACAAGCTTGACATTATGTCAGTGCTGTATAGAACTCTTTTCAAAAATACATTCTCCATACGTACAATACATTCTTCATCGATCCGAAAGACAGTTTCATCATGCAAAGAACCATTTAAGCATGAAATGGTTCTATATACAACTCATGATGATGCTCTGTTCTTGAAAAACAACAGAATCAGAATTGTTCACAGTGGTCGTGATAGGAACCAGATGGCAGAGGAGTTTAATGCCGCTGAAAGCTCCCTCATTTGTGTATGAATATGTTGCCTGTTGCTCTGAGATACTGGTTTATTATAGCTCTGAGATAAAGTTTTGGCCTAAAACTCATTCATATCAGAGAGGTACATGTATTGTGGAGATGACAGTGGACTTCAGGAGAAGCCCTTCAACCCTGCCAGCACTCACCATCCTGGACAGAACTGTGATGGCAGTGGAGTGCTGCAAGTTCCTGGGTACAACAATCACCAGGGACCTGAAGTGGGACAGCAACATCAGCTCCATCATCAAGAGAGCCCAGCAGAGGATGTACTTCTTGCGTCAGCTGAGAAAGTTCAACCTGCCCCAGGAGCTGATGGTTCTACACAGCCATCATAGAGTCTGTCATCACCACGTCCATCACAGTGTGGGGTAGCTCAACCACCAAGCATAGAAGATAATTGGTGTTAAGCTGCCTGCATTGCTGGAACCGCATGCCTCCAGAACCAGGACGCGTGCAGAGAGTATCTCCGCTGACTCTTCACACCCCAGACACCACCTGTTCCAGCTCCTTCCCTCAGACAGGCGCTTCAGCCAAATGAGGATCAGGACATCCAGATCACAGAGAAGTTTCTTCCCACAAGCCATCACTCTCCTGAACAGTTAAAATATTACACATAAACAATATTCAAACTGCACTTCTTAAATATATTTGTCTCTAGTATATATAGTTTATAGTAACTCTCAACATTCCATCCTCTGTAACTGCCATCTTAGACCAGCGTTTTCTGCACGTCACTTACCTGCCTATTACCCCACTTATCTGACTGTTACCTCACTCATCCCTCTTTTTGCCACTATACATCCTTTAACTGCTGCTGCACTCAGCACTTTTATATATTACATATACTTGCACAATGAAAGGTTTAAAGGTGTGACTCTGTGTGTGTGTGTGTGTGTGTGTGTGTGTGTGTGTGTGTGTGTGATGGTCCAAGTGTGTGGTAGAATGATGCACATGCTATTTTATTTTATTCTTCTTTTTTATTTTTATTTATTTTTGTTCTTATTTAAAATGTTTGTCTGATACTGTGCACTGTGAGCTCCTGTAACCAAAATCTA